AAGGATTAATTAAATAGGGTTATGAAATTAATCGTCATGCAGCATAATTCTCTAATACTTCAGTTACCTCAGGATGTCGGCTTTCGAAAGAACTTCCTTCCGGCTGCATGCAAAAACAACACTTTAAAAAATAACTGCTTAAGTAGCATGCATTTTTCTCATTTATTTTCGACACCCTTAAACATTCAATTATATTTCATTAAGAATATGCATAAAAATATTAATTCTTTTGCTCCTTCAGAATCAGATTACGTCTTCTTCCAATTTTATACTCGAATAAAGGGTATAATTCGGTTTTAAAAAGTTTCTAATTATGAGATGTTTTTATATACCGTGAAATGTCCGTTCATGAAACATCATGTCTCTGCATTTACCAATATGGCTTTTGAAGTTAACAATATGGCCTAAGTCCAGTGGTAAATTTTATGAACCCCATGTGGTCTCCTCTTAAGGCCGTAGAGAAATGTATGGTTTTCCGCACGCAGAAAATATACGGCATGTTGTTTGGAACCCTGAGTGAAAACGTAACGGCAGGTCGGGTTCAAAATTATTCGGGAAGTGGAAAAGTATTTGAAAACCGAATTGTACCCTTCTTTTGAGTATAAAATTGAAAAAAGGCATAATTCTCTACCGAATGAATATTTTTATGCACGTTTTCTCTGAGGTATAACTTAATTGCAATGGGCATCGAAAATCAATGAGAAATAGTCATTTTTTACAGAGTATGGATTTTGCATGCATCCGAAAAGAAGTTCATTCGAAAGCCGGCATCCAGAGGTAACTGGAATATTATAGAATTATTTTGCAGGCTGACCAGTTTTAAAACCCTACTTAATTAATCTTTTCGAAACCAAGACGCACTTCGGAATTTCGGTTGACATTTCATGAGTAAGCCCGTCTACTGTATACATAAGATGGTACCGACAAAGACAAGGGAGACCAGAATGGCATTTCTGACTTATTCGGCTTCGTCAGGCAATCATATCCAACCACAAGTGTGGATGACTTGAGGTTCAAACCCGAGATCTTGAAGTAGACACGATCGCTGGGACAAGAGACTTATTAGTCTGGCGTTTCGGGTTCCTCCTCGAACCCATCGTCAGAGACAAAAGCAGATACGGGGGGTTCATGTACAAGGGGCTGCAGTATTTATAGGATGCAGTCGCCATACTACCACATGCCTATGAACATTCACGGCTCCCTCCTTCATCCAGGATCGTCGTCCTTGCTGTACTAACTGTTTGATGGCCGACGTTCTCTTCGTTAATTGCTGCAATTTCATCACGTGCGTTGGGTGTTGATGTAATGATTGCTCGCCTATCTGATCCACCGACCCTGGATTTGGGAAAAAGTGTTCACCTGTGCGCTCCCCGCGTGGCCAATTACTTCGCTTAGGCGAAGTCTCAGCACCGAGTATGGAAGGGGAAGATCATTGCATATATTAATGGACTGGGGGCCAGTAAACCATGACTCAAGCAACTCTCGGCACACGCAGTTGTCACCTCTTGTGATAATTTCGGCCTCGTCGTATTTGAATGTGTGGCCGGATCTCGTCGAATGAGCCGCAACGTGAGAGCTGGCGTCATTTCTCTGCACCGCTGCAGATGATGATGGGTTCGAGCAGGAATCCGAAACGTCAGGCTAATAGAGCTCTTGTCCCAGCGATCGTGTCTCCTTCTTCAATCCTTCTAACCACTCATCCCCATCTTCCGGTTTTGGCGAGGGGTAATTTCTGCCTGGACTCCCACACTTCAGCACATTTTTCTATGGACCTTACAACAAGTCTTCTCTGTTCAGCAAAAGAAAGCAAATTAATTCTGGCAAAAGGATGGCCTTTGATTAAGTCGCGCACATGGCCTTTAAAAATCTGACGTAGGTACATTTAACGTGGACTGGCGTCCATCTGTTCACTGTCTCCCAGCCCTCCCTCCCCCCCCCAGCTGCACGTCACTAAGACTTGCCCACCTCACACACTCAAGCCTCCCCCCCCACCTCCCCACCCGTACTTCCCCCAGTGGACAAACTCGGAAAACCACAGAAAAGAAAACTGGCAGCAGCGAGTGTGTAGTGCACATCCCACGTCCCACGCTTCGCCCACGGCTACTGTCGTCAGCGTCACCCCCAGAAGCTTTGACAACCTCACCATCTTGAGCAGACTACAGAGATGCTGGGCCATGTTACTTCCCAGCTCGACACGATGTTGGGGCAAATGGTGATGGTGGTGGTGGCGGCAGGGGTTTCTGGTGTGGTAAACGGTCAGACATCAGGAGGACACTTGGACACACGTGCATCACCCCACACCCCCCAGGCCATGTGTTGTGCTCGTAGACGCACTCCGCCTGCCCCCGGACCAAAAGACTCCTTGGGGCGGCGGATTTTCGTTCACATGCGCAAGAGAAGACCGTCGCATGACAAACAGGTGAGAGGAGAGGCGCATAGTCGCCAGGTGGGTGACGCCAACATCGCCGGGGCATTGATTAACAATCTCAGCGAAGGGGTGGGGGTAGGTACTACGGTTCAATTCCTCCTCCCCGCGTCCCTTTAAATGCAACAACAACAACAGCTCGCTCTTCTCGACTGGCACGATGTGTTGGAGGACAGGAAAGGAGAGGCGGTGGGACCGTCTTGTCTTCAGGGAGTCAGATCCGTCAGCGCGAGTTTGTGGCAGGCAAGAGGCAGCCAGATTACTGTCCCCCCGCCCCACCAACCTGTTAATCTTCAGCCCTCCGCAGTAGCCCTAAACCAGTTCGCCCCTCCACCCGACTCTTCCCGTCTCTCATAATTCGCGATGTGGCAGGACGCAGAGGAGGGTCACGACAGCATGAAATGTGATGAGAAATGGGTTGAAGGGCAAAAATGTTTAAACATTCCGAAGCTACCTACCACCCCCACCCAAGTAGCATTGTGGAGCCCGTTTTCCAGATGCGCTCGACTGCAGAAATCTCGATGGCTGACTAATACTCATGCCAAGGAAGTGATGGTTCTGATGGCAGTGGTGGCGGAGATGGTAGTGGTAAAACTGTCTCTTTCGTTATCTGCAGCTAGGACGCAAAAACCTCCGTAGTTTATCCAAAATACAATCCTCTCTTTTTGGACATCAAATCACACTTTCCTGCAGTAGTTTACACTTGTATTTTTAGCTGTACATGGTCTCTTAACCCCCGACCCCCACACCCACTCCCCCACCCCCCAGGCTAATAGTTTGATTTTGAGGCAGAACAGTAAACATATTTTTTTATAAAGGGGACCCGTGAGAAACATTTTGCAGAATAACTTATCAAGAGAACTTGGTTATCTACTGAACTGTTTTCTCAAAATGGGTATCTCACAGATTTACCACGTAGATCCATAAGACAAAACGAATTAAAAGAAAACTAACATGAACTAGACAGTTCCTGTCTGAAACTCAAATTAATAAACCAGCGAACCTTTCCATTTGTTATGACCCGCCTGGTACCTGAAATCCCGTGGAGCGTATACGCACTCGACCCTTTTCCCCAATACCAACGCGGCAGAGAAGAAGAACGTGACCGGCCACGAAAACGTGCATTAGGAAATTGCAAGTCAAAATTAACTGGAAGTAACGCATATATACAACGCCCTACAGTGCTTCGCCGGCATTCGGCCCAATGCCCTTCGG